GAGAAGCAACTTTTGGGAATGTCAGCAGCAGGAAATCAATAATGATGGGCCATGGAGGGCTCACCAGGTGGGGAGCGCTGAAGGTCTCCTAGTTGCACCTCAGAGATCTTATATATTTGTCCCATTTTCCCATGTGAATGATAAAATCCTCTGGAGGCGGGTCCTTCTCCTACCTCTTTATCCCCCGTAGTGCCTAGTGCAGTGCCCTGCAATGCAGGTGGTACCTGCCCAGATCCCCTGCAGCAGGGAGTGTACCCATCATCCAGCTGCTCTGGGTTGTGGCTGCTAAATGGCTCGCAGTTGCCTCTAGAGTTGCTCTTGGCTGAATAAGTTCTGTTCCCTCGCCCCACCCTCCCCAGCTGGCAGCCATGACTGGGTGATATGGTGGCAGCAAAGGCCAGCCTCTTTTCTCAAGGTGGCCCCACTCTACAGTGCAATTGAGGCTCCAGAGCTCTTGGTGTTACCAGACTGAAGCTGGTCTGTAGCCTGGACCACATGCCTGCTGAGATCCCCCTGGTCTAGGAAGGGGAAATACAGGAAGCTGATACTCTGTTGGTCTCTTATATCCCCCACTTCCTAGAGCATTCCTGCAGTGAATCACTGCCCCCCAAATGCCCATCTCAGACACTGATTTTAGGGAACCAACTCAAGACAACAATGGCCAAACTCTGATGGCCGTTGCAACCCCACAGTCATATTTTGACACTATCAGTGGAGTGGAAAACTCACAGTATGGCTCACAGCGTCCTTGTTTCTGAATTTCTCAATGCTTAAAGCTCTACCTTAGTATTGAGCCCTTGAATTATAGGAGAGAAGATGTAAACCATTTTCGTGTACCTGTGAGCAGTTCTGGGAGACAGGATGAAGCAATTGTTGAAGACACGGTCTTGCTGTCAGCCACACACTTGCGTTATTCCTATGCTCCCTGTTTCCCACTACAGAGCCTGTATGCTGGGTAGGTGCACTGAAGGGCCAACATGAGCCCATTGCAAGGGCCTTGAGACTGGTCTCACTCCAATCTCGAGATGGCTCTTTTTGGTTTCTGATGGAAACGGAGCCATTCACTACTAATGAAATGGAGTGTGGCCCAGAGTTTAGCAGAGCTGCCTGGTGGGAGTACTGTGTCACGGAGCCTTGAGCCATGGGTTCAGCCCCCTGGTGGGTTGTGCTTGGTTTCCTGATTATGGATTGGACTCAGCCCTGCCACATTGTCACTCTTATGTGTGCCACTAGGCACTAACAGGCATCAAGGCATAGGAGTGTTCAGATACTGGTGAGTCAAGAATGTGCAGAGCCAGGGAGAACATCAGTGTAGACTAAGTAATTTCAATTCTGAGATCTCAGGTGTCAACATCTAGAAGGGTTCTCAGTGAAGTTTTTAATGTAATTGAATGAGGTGAAATTCACACCTCAAGGACCAAAATGGCCCTCAAGTCAGGCAAGAGCACACAACTCTTTCACTTAAGCCCCAGGCCTACTAGCAGGCTCTGACACAAAGACCCCACTGGTTTGACACCAACACTTCTCAACCATGGCTGGGATTGCTAATCCCAAAGTTGATTAGTGAGACTATTGGTAGGAAACTGATGGTACACTTGGGGTGTGTGGGAGATTGAAAAGAAAAGCCACGCGTCACTGAAAGCCAGTTTTTATTCTTATAGAGAAGAAGGGAGGGCCAGGAAGAGTTGAGAAAACCCAAGCCAGGGCAAGGAGTGTGTTGCCAGCACTAAGCAGCTGTTCTCTGCTTGGGTCCTGGATCTGCTTCCTGTTAAATCCCACTGTTGACACCTGTCGGTACTCTACCAATATCCATTTGGCCCTCACCTTTCTCTGTGTGCCAGCCCAACTCCCATCTGTCAGCACCTGTGGCCTTTTGCCTATGGCCTTCTTTTTTTTTTTTAAATTTCAAGACAGAGTCCCACTCTGTCGTCCAGGATGGAGTGCAGTGGTGCGATCTCAGCTCACTGCAGTCTCCGCCTCCCAGGTTCAAGTGATTCTTTTGCCTCAACCTCTGGAGTAGCTGGGATTACAGGCATGTGCCACCACGCCCAGCTAAGTTTTTTGTATTTTTGGTAGAGACGGGGTTTTGCCGTTTTGGCCAGGCTGGTCTCCAACTCCTGACCTCAGGTGATCCACCTGCCTCGGCTTCCCAAAGTGTTGGGATTACAGGTGTGAACCACCATGCCTGGTCCTGTGGCCTTTTTCTAGCCACTGGAGCCCATTCTGCTGCAGTGCAGGGCAGGCCAGAGGTGCTGGGGAGGTAGCATCCCAGGAGAGCAGTCCTCAACCCAGGCCTGGCTGCAGTGGGACATCTCGCAGGTGTGTGTTGCACTCTGCCTCCTGGAGCTCCCTGCCAGGACACAGCTACAGTTCCCCACAGCAGGAGCTTGCACTGTTTATTGCTTCCTTCTCTCCCCTGTCACCTCCCCACTGCCCTCTCAGTGTTTCCTCACCCACGGCCTTACACTTGAATCCATATCTCAGGGTTTGCGCTGAAGGAAATCAAACTAAGCCAGTGCCCTGTTGTCTTTTCTTTGTTTCCTTACTACACAGATCAGGCCCCAAACTAGGCAGAACTGTCTGGAGGGGCAGAAAGCCATTACTAAGGGCAGCCCTGGGGCTCCAGGCATCCAGAGGCTCAGGGCTCCAGCACCCAGGCAAAGAGGTGAGCACAGCATAGGGCCTATGATGGCCTGGTTCCTGCCTTTGTGGTCTGTCTGTCCTCATCCTCAGGGCTGATTTTATTCCTCCAAGTTTCAGTCCCAGTGTCTGTATCCCAGTTAGGTTGAATGAGACGAGTTTATCCTGGAAAGACTATTTGGGCTCTAGTTCTAGCTCTGCCACTAACTGTGTGGCTTTGGGCAAATTACTTTGCTGCTCTGGGTTTCAGTCTACCCGTCAGCAAAATAAGGCGGTTGGATTAGATGATCTGTAAATGCCCATCTACAATTTTTATATTCATTGAATAATGAATGAAGACAGGACTATTACCCAGGCAGGTATTCCTGGGCTTTCTCAGTGGTTCAGTCTCAATGAAGAGAAGATGCTGCTTGACATACCCTTGCTACAGTTTGACTCATGACCAAGCAGTTGGGGACATCAGACATTTTCCCTCTCCATGTGGAGCTTACTAGTTCAATCGAGAACCACAGCTTTCAAGTTGAGCTTTTGCCTGTTCTAACCATCCCAACAAAAAGCCTGGTTTCTAATCATGTCCCCTCAGCCTCAGCTCAAGTAGGATGGTTCCCACACTTTTAGAAACTTCTCACTAGCAAACGAAGACATTTCCCTAAAGAATGGAAAGTAAACGAGGATGTGTAATGAGAGAATCATGTCATGAAAATAGGACGTGTAATTAGAAAACGTCATGGAAATGTGACATTTTTGAATTGGAATGTCAGTGGCTAGAAAAGACAAGGCAAGTTGTGTACTTATTCACAAAGACGTGGAGGCCACATAGCATCTTACACAAGGGGTGAGCAAACTTTTTCTGGAGAGGGCCAGGTAATAAATGTCTTAGACTTTGTGCACCATGAGGTTTCTGTTGCAACTGCTCAACTCTGTAGGATGGGGGCAGCCATACAGATAAGGGCCAAGACTAGGTTGAGGGCCAGTGAGGCACACTTGTGTTGGGCACAAAATTCAAGGGTGCCAAAAACCTCAGTAACCAAGATAAATATTTGAATGCAATATTTAGAAAATATTATTGCAAAAAATCCATGATATAAAATATCACAATTAAAAGTAAAGACAGAGGCCTGGTGTGGTGGCTCATGCCTGTAATCCCAGCACTTTGGGAGGCCGAGGTAGACAGATCACTTGAAGTCAGGAGTTCAAGACCAGCCTGGCCAACATGGTAAAACCCCATCTCTATTAAAAATACTAAAGTTAGCTGGGCGTTGGGGGGTGGGGCGCCTGTAATCCCAGCTACTTGGGAGGCTGAGCCACGAGAATCGCTTGAACCTGGGAGGCAGGTTGCAGTGAGCTGAGATTGTGCCACTGCACTCCAGCTTGGGTGACAGAGCAAGACTCCATCTCAATAAATAAATAAATAAATAAAAATAAAGACAGGATCAGACAATATGTAAATGAATGAGCGTAGCTATGTTCCAATACAACCACTTGGCCTGGAGGCCATAGTTTGCTGATCCCTGTGTTATCACATAGGGTAGACCTGGGACCCTCCCAACAGAAGTTTTCATCTTAGAATCAGGTGGCTGGATGAGGTTAAGAACTATTTCCTTTAGGGTGCCCTCTTTCCTCCTTTTTCGGTCCTCCTTCCTCTTTGGTGCTGCTTGCTGTTTGTGCTTCTCGATTCCCTCTCTCGACACTCCATTTCCTACATTCTAGCAGCCCAGGCCTCACATTGGGCTTCAAGTCTTCTCCAATATAAAATTTCAACCAGGTCTCTGGCCTGGCTCTGGCCTCCCTTCACCTGCATCCACTCAGCATGGCCACTCTCAGCAGACACTTTGGAAATAATCTGATAATTGGCTTAACAGGCTGCTCCTCTTAGCGCAGGTGCATTTCAACAGTAGAAAGTTATTTTAGCCAAAAGACCCATATTGTTTAAGGGTCAGCTGTATTTGTTGAATTACAAATGAAGACTAACAGTTTAATATTACAAAGGGGTCGACTTCAGATGGATGGGATCTCAGGCATCTGTGAGGGGTAGCGCGGCTGGGAATTTTTAGGTGGTTGGTTCCCCCCAATCTCATGATGTTTGCACCTTTCGTGACTAGAGGAGAGAACCAGCCCCGGTCAGAAGGTTTGGAGTTAGCTCCAAGATATAGTGTGAAATTCACAATACGGACACCAGGCCTCACTAGATGATTCTGGAATCACCTCCTGATTACCAGTCTCTGTAGATTCTCCCCTCCCCAGTCCTTCCCTCACCCCCAAATACAGTGGCCTTCATGGGCGCAGGCAGAAGCCAGCTAGCTCTTAGCACTCTCAAAGACGGGATCAGATAGTACATAAATGAATAATAAATAAACAAATCTGTGTTCCAATAAAACTTTATTTGGCCTGACCTGATCAAGTTTAATAATGTTTAATAGATTTTTTAAAAACATGAGTAGTTATAACAATACCTCTGTAATAACAGTTATATATGAACTCCTGGTCAAGGCCAGCAGCTTGTTCCTTTACCAAAAAAGTAAAGCCGCCCTCTGAGGACAAAATGGCACATGAGGAGTGGTGTACATTTTTTTCTTAAAGAGAAAACAAAAAATAACAAAACCCAAACACTTCCTATTTACATATTCTCCATTTAAAAATTGGTCAGTGTGAGTAATTGTTTTTAAATATAAGTTTCTAATGTGTTGCAGGTTTCCATGTACAAAGTATAGTTTGCTGATTAGCTTTAAGGTGCTGTGATGTGAGGATGAATGCAGCCCAAGACCAAGACTGGGGGAATCCTCTACCCACAGACTGGCTGGACTTCCTGTGGGTATCTTTGGGAGTGTTGGGGGAAGAGAAGGAGCTGAACACCAGTGGCAGAAATGGCAGTGTTTCTGGGGACCAGATAGGGGCTGTCAGTGTCCCCACCCCACGCTTCTGCAGAGGGCCTGTGTCTACACGCCATTACCCCATGCTGTGTGTGTGAGCACACGGGTTTGCATTCACCAAACTCACTTTAGCCTACACTATGAGGGGCATTGCTACTTTGAGTCCCTTCCTTTGTCGTGAGGTCTCCATGCTGGTGCCTGACCCCTAAGAGCCCTTGCTGTTGACAGCCCTCCTTTCATACCTTCCTGGATTCCTTGCCCCCAAGGTCACGTGCTCTCCAACACATTTCTGTAGGGTCTGCTCTTTGTCAAGACTACATGGATGATCAAACTCAGGAAAGTATTGATGAGGGATGGTGGGTTCCATGTGACACCTTCTCTCCTAACACATTTTCTCTATGGCAGAACCTCACTGCTGTCCTCCAAATGAGCAGTTTGTGTAGAGAACATTAGTCCCGAGGTAGGTCTGGAGAGGAGCTGTTGGGGGGTGGGGGGGGGAGCAGGGTGTGGGGTGAAGGGAGAGTGCTGGCAGGGAGGTTGGAGGGATTCTTGGAATTGCTGCCTTCAACCTCACTGGGGTAGGACGCCCACAGGGGAACGAGGGCTGTCTTTGCGTGTGTCAGGAAAGTGCATAGGGAGTGCTGAGGGGGTGTGCACAGGCCTGGGAGAAGGGCTGATTTTACCCACAGACCCCAGACTGTTCTGACCTGAAAGGAAGATTTCAGACCGTGCAGGGGTGAGGCAAATACAGGGGTGCGACAGATGAAAACATTTAAGTACTTGGGGAGCCAGGAAAGTATGCTTGGTGACTAGGAGAAACAAACTGGTTCAGTTTCCAGTTTCAGAATACGAGAAACATTGCTCTGAATAAAAGAACATCGAATGGTAATGGACAGGGAAGAAACATCTCAGATCAAGTTTCTAAGCAAAAAGCCAGAATGACCCCAACAGAGGAAGACATTCTATAATGGAGAGACCCTGGCCTGGGGGCCAGGAGACTGGGATTTAAAGCTGGTCCTCACACTAAGCCTGTGATCTTAAGAAGTATCTCTTGGTCTCTAGGTCTAATTGCCTTTCCTCAGCTGTCAGTTGAGGCTAGTTGGGCCAGGTGGTTTCGGAGCTACCTCTGCAAGATTTCTCTGCATCCTGTCACCCAGGTGGGGCCCGCAGACTGCTAAGGCTATTTCTTCCCTGTGCACCACACGTGGTCTCCCCTTTGCTGGGAAAGTGATCAACCCCCAAGCCAGGGTCCTGTTCAAACCCGCTCCTATAGGTTAAAGGCTAGTTATTAAGGCAGTTTAAGAAATGGACATTCCTCTCGCTCCTCGGATCCTTCACGCGTCCTGCTAACCCCAAGGCAGCAGAGAGGGGCAGGAAAGGCTGCCAGCCCCAGCTTTCTCTGGGGGCCTCCTGCTCTGCGGGGACTGGAGCGGCCCCTCCGCCCTCACCACCTTTCTTTGGAGAAGGCCTCGGTCTGCACGAGGTCGCCAGGGTGCTCGGGGATACACGCACCATTGAGGTCGCCCAGTTTATTGTCCGGTAGGTCCTCCGGCTTGGTGCAGAGCTTCAGGGCGCGGGAGATGAACACGTCCAGGTCGAACTGGGGGCTGGCGCCACCGTCCACCGGGGCCGGGCGGCCGGGGGGCGAGGCAGACAGGCGGTGCTCGGGGTCGTCGGCGGGCGGGCTGGCGTGCTCGGGGCCGCCCTGTGTGCTCTTGACCCACTGCGCGATCTCCAGGAAGAGGCTGGCCGGCTCGTCCTCGCGCGCCCCGGTGTCCATCGACCCCGTGGCCGTGGGGGGCGCGCCGGCCGCCTGTTTCCAGTGCGATAGGTCCAGGATGAGCTTGGGCTCCGAGTAGTGGTGCGGCTTGTTGTCGCGCCACAGCAGCTTGTCCAGGTAGGACGGCGACCCCACCTTGTAGTCGCAGGAGCGCCCGTAGTCTGCCTCGAAGGCGCGCTCCATGGACGAGTGTGACTGCTCTAGGAAGCGCTCGGAGCTGCTGTGCGATTCCTTGCGCGGGTCCACCTGCACGTCCTCTGCCAGCGGCGCCGAACCCGCGCGCGGGTCGCGCTGCACCTCGCTGGCGTCCTGGCACCGGTCTGGCCGCCACTCCAGGTCCGACGACAGGCTCACAGGGTACCTGCAAGGGTACAAACGGAGGCGGTGATTGGACGCCCGAGCCGGGTGGCTTCCGGGAGGGAGCCAAGCCCTCTAATCCCTGTTTGCCACTCACACACCTGCCTTCCATTCCTTCCCGATCCCCCCTGCCTCCGACCCCCATCCCTCAAGGTGGGAGGGTGATGGGACAGGTAATGGCGAGCCTTGAGGGCTCAGCTGGGGGCATAGGTTGTTCGGCTTAACTGTTGTGTTCTTTTGTACGCATTCAAAACCCTTCAGATATTTCCCGCGCACCTACTGTGCGCCAGGCACTCACTGTTCTAGATATTACTGAATACAGCAGTGAACAAAACAAATGTCCCTGTCCTCATGGAACTTTCCAGCGGATCCACCTGTGTAATGCTTCTCAAATGCTGATGGATGCACGAATCACCTGCGGGTCTTGCTAAAATGCAGATTTTGATTCTGTAAATCTGAGATGGGGCCTGAGATTCTAACAAGCTCCCAGCTGCTCTGATGCTGCTGGGCCTTGGACCCACATTTTGAGGAGCAAGGCTCCAGTGAGTGCGTCTCAACCCTGGATCAGATTAGAGTCACATAGGGGAATTAAAAATAAAATAGCATGCCCGCCTCACTGCTTCCCTGCGCCAATTCTGATTGAGTAGGTCTAGGGTAGGACCCTGCATCAGCATGTTTTGAAGACCCCCCGGGTGATTCTAAGGTACAGCCAGGGCTGAGAACCCCTGCCCTGGTGGATCTGGTTGGGGGCTCCATAGCACCTTGCATTGATGCAGGGTAGGTGGGACCTACAGAAAGGTTACAGACACCCTCCGGAGAAGCTGAAGATCTTTGGCATTCTGCCCTGTTTGACTGCCCTGCAGCCATGGAGAGTGAAGTCAGCTAGCCAAGAGCAAATGAAGGGCAGATGGGCAGACAGGCGGGCCACCAGCTACGGCGGAGCCCTCCCTTCCTTGTGCAGGTGCTCTGTGTAGAACCCTGGGGTTGTGGGGCAGGCAGGGAGCACAGAGAACATCAGCCTGCAGCCAGCTACTCCCTGAGCAGGCCCAACAGATAGACCAAGGAGAGGGAGGTTCGGCTGTGTGGGGCAGACCTGGCAGCTGCAGCCCACAGAGTGTGAATGGAGAGGCATAGGAAGGCCTCAGCACTGCCCACCTCCCAGTGACGCTGCTAGGGCAGGAATCGCTCCTCGAGCTGAACCCTGCCTCCTCGATTGAGTGGCCTTGGGCAGAGATTTCCAGGAGTAAGAGTGTGAAGACCCTGACCCTTGGCTGCTCTATTCCAAGTGCCAAACATACATTATCTGTAGTCTTCAGAGTAACCCTGTGGACTTCGTGTTATCACCCCCACTTTACAGCTGGGAAAATAGCATTCCAAGAGGGTAAGTAGCTTGCCCACAGCAGCAAGATCCTTTGTCATCCTTTTCCCTCAGGCAGGTGTGATGGGAAAGGTCGGGAGCACAGGTGCACCAGGTTTAGGGGTGGTCAGTGTGAACAGGCAGCAACAAATCCTGTGACAGTTTTTTCTGGCCAAACCCTATGCCACAGTTGCAGAAGGTATAGGATGACTCTCACTGAGCCAATGCTCTTTGTCCCAAGGCTCTCCGGAGGAAGGGGAAGGGGCCCCAGGAACCACAGTCAAGGGCAGGCCTGCCCCGGGGGTGGCAGAAGACAGAGTCTTCATTAATCTCTCTTTGTTGGCAGTGCTTGAAAACAACAATTGACAACAACAAGCCAGCAAACCTGTTCAAAAATAGCAGCGTCACCCTGGCCCTCCCTCGGTGCCTCCTTAATCTGAAACCCGTCATCTGTCAAATGACTCAAAAGGAGAAATTGCTCATCTGTCACTTATGTAACTAGCTGTCACATTCCCACGGCAGTGGGACTCCCAGTTAGGCCCCCTCAAAGTCCTAGCTGCTTGAGCCCTCGACTGCTGTTTCTAAACTGAGCAGCTACCAGCACTCCCTCCCAGAATTAGCAGATGGTGACACCCAAATGTTTAGTTGCCTGATCTAAGAACGTCAGAACAGGAAAAGATCTAAGAGATCATTACGTGCCTAGGCAGAAATTGTTTAAAAATACATCTTCTACCCAGCGCTGATTCATTGGTAGTGGCTTCCAGGGACACTTGTTGAGGATTCTGTAGCCAAGCCCAGTTTAGCAGGAAATGGTCCTATAACTGCTTAGCAGCATCTGACATGGCTGCAGATTGCAGAGAGGCTCATCAGGGGCGTGACACGATGCCAGTCTCTTAACCTAGGAGCTGTAGTTTCCTTGTGTGTCAGTGAGCAATAATAATGCAGCCCCCGTCAGTGGCATTTTTTTTTGACAGGGTCTCACTTTGCAACCTCAAACTTCTGGGCTCAAGGGATTCCCCAGCCTCAGCCTTCCCAGTGTCTGGGACTACAGCCGTGTGCCCCCATACCTGGCTAATTTAAAAAATTGTAGAGATGGGGTCTGACTTTGTTTCCCAGACTGGAACTCCTGGCCTTAAGCCATCCTCCTGCCTTGGCCTCCTAAAATGCTGGGATTACAGGTGTGAGCCACCACACCTGGTCTTTAATGGCACTTTCAAGAGTTACCGACGTGAAACATGAGAAAGCGTTTTGCAATGGTAATCTCTGCTTTGTTTTTTTGCCTTGCATTGTTGCAGTTTAGTTTTCAAGGGCAAGTTCCCAGGCTGCTAGAAGTGAGCTCCTACCATGGTGCTCACTAAATCCTTGGGGAGCACTGTATTGAACCCCCTGTTCAGTAGACTCAGGGTGGTGAGAGAAGCTGGGGATGTTGCACAAAGGAAAGCCCCTGACCCACACATGCAGCTCACACTGGTCATTTACCAGCAGTGTCTGGGGACAAGAGAAAGGCAGGAAGCTAAGCTGGAGAAGTTGCCCAATGAGCTATGCAACTTGGGAGACAGAGGGAAAGGTCATGGAGGATGAGGCAAAATAGAAATGGGAGGACAGGGAAATGTGGGCTCTGGAACCCAGGGCTGTGAGCACCTGGAACTGCACGTGTCCCAGTTGGACAGCTGGCTCTGGTTAGCGGCCATCAGCACGATGTCATCGATCTCATCCTCAATGCGGAAGGGGTGTTGCGAGGTGGGCTCATCCTCAGGGCACGAGTATGGGCTCATGTAGGGGTGCTGCAGCCCCATCTCAGCTGTTAGGCGATCCATGGGGTTAAAGGTCAGGATCTTCTCCAGAAAGTCGATGGCTGCAGGGAGCAAAGCCGGACATGAAAGTCATTTGTTGCCCTTGTCGAGCTCAGAAGGAGGTTCCTCAGCATGGTGACATTCTGTGCTGGTGTCTGTGCTTCTGCATTTGTTAAAAGGTTTTTAGCCATTTTCTTTCTCAAGACCCTTGTCACAATCCAGTGACAAAGAAAAAGCAGATGCTGCCTTCTAGATTTTGCAAATGAATTAAACAGACTCAGAGAATCAAGTGACTTGCTCAAGGTCCAGCCTCAGCCTGGGTTTCTCCAGAGACGGAACCAGAGACAAGGCTTGGGGTTGTAGGTAGTTTATGTGGTGGGGGATCCCAGCAAGCACAGGTGGGGGAGTGAGGGGGAACCAGAAGAAGGCACACTCATGACAGGTTACTCCTGTGGGCACCTGGGATCCTCCAGAGACGATGTGGGCCACACTCAGAGGTGGTTCCCCTTGTGGGGCAGGGAAGCTGGGATATTTATACACCAACTTCCCTTTGTCATGGCTTTTAAGGGGCTGCTGGCATGGGATGGAGGAGCCTGCTCCTGAGGAAGCCCTGAGACAGGAGTGCCAGATGCAGCAGTAAAAAGCCTTACTGAGAAAGGTGAATGCGGCGGTCAAGGGGTGGGACAGGGTCTCCACAGCCCAGAGCTCCTGGGTCCGAATCCAGAGCTCTTCCTACCATATGCTGCCCCTGAAAGTTCAACAAAGGCAGACAGCCTTGATGGATGGATAGATATTACAGATACTGAACAACCAGGCTGAATTCCCCTGCTCTGCCAAGCAGTAGTCCTTTCATGCCTGGATCAAAGGGGAGTTCTGGGCAGTGGGAACCTGGGGAAGGGAAGGGACATTCAGAAGCCTTGTATGAGAGGCTGCTAACCAGCATGAATGTATACCAAGATTCAGCAGATAGCAGCTCTGCACACAGGCACTCGTGGCCCCTTCCCTTGAGCAGGGCTGGGTACCCTGGGAGCTCTGCTCTTGGAACTCTGCCCCGGGTTATCTCAGGGCAAGGTCTAGCCTAGAAGTTTGGATTCCTTCTCAGCATTGGCATCTCTGGAGGTCTGCTTAAATCATGATTTGGCTCCTCATGTTGCAGCCCACATGGAGAGGGAGAAATGGAGCTGAGCTCAAGGCCCAGGCTGCCCATCCTCCGAGGGGCTCCCTGGTGGGCCTCAGCCTGCACCACTAACCTGCCCCTCACACCAGCCCTGGATCTCTTTGCAAGAAAATTCATCAGTGATTCAGGAAATCGATGGATTCAGAAGGTCACTGGCCTCCTAGGAGGACGCAGTGCTGCAGTGTAACTCTAGATCCCCAAATTAGTTAAGCAGCAATAACTCTGATCACCCTCAATGGTCTGATGCTCAGTGTGTTTCTGGGTCTGAAGTTGCAAACTTAAAAGAGGATCTGCCTCACAAATTCCTAGGACTGGAAGAATCGGGCAGTCTAGTGCGGGGCCCAGCTTCAAGTCTGGGCACGTCTTTGTCTCTTTGGGCCTCTGGCCCTTTTTTTTGGCCCCAGCTATGACTTGACCTTTTGACAAGGAAATGAGATAATTAAAGCTCTAAAGATTGAGGCGCAGGCAGTATCATCTTTAAAAGAGATGAGTACCACCACTGGGGCAGTGGCTTACATCTGTAATCCCAGGACTTTGGGAGGCCAAGGAAGGAGGATTGCTTGAGCCTAGGAGTCTGAGATCACCCTGGACTTGTTTCTAGCAAGACAAATAGTAGTTGGCAAGGTGGGCCAGTAGTGGGTTGCCTCTACAAAAAAAAATTATTTGTTAGCCAGCCAAAGTGGCACACGCCTGTGGTCCCAGCTGCTCAGGAGACTGAGGTGAGAGGATCACTTGAGCCCTCGAGGCTGAGGTTGTAGTGAGCCATGATTATACCACTGCAGTCCAGCCTGTGTGACAAGCGAGACCCTGTTACAAAAGAAAAAAAGGCAAGTACCAACCCCAGAGCTGTTCCACAGACTCCATCATGGATGAAAATCTGCTGGAGGTCCTCCTGCAGGTGCCCAGATACTTCTGGGAAGCCCAAACACTAGGGAATTCTTTTTTTTTTTTTTTTTGGAGACAGGGTCTCACTCCTGCTGCCCAGGTTGAAGGGTTGAAGTGCAGTAACGCAAATATGACTCACTGCAGCCTCAACTTTCCAGGTTCAGGTGATCCTCCTGCCTCAGGCTTCCAAGAAGCTGAGACTATAGGCATGCGCCACCATGCCCAGCTAATTTGTTGTATTTTTGGTGGAGACGGGGTCTCCCTATGTTGCCCAGGCTGGCCTGAAACTCCTGGGCTCAAGAGATCCACCTGCCTCGGCCTCCCAAAGTGCTGGAATTACAGGTGTAAGCCACCACACCTGGCCCAGAAAATTCTTCCTTTTATCAAACTTAAATCTCCCTGCTTTAACTTGTACCCTGGGGCCTACCTCTGCCTTCAGTGGTTCCCTCAAAGCAGCATGTCCTCTCTGTCCCATGATTTCCCTTCTCCTATTTCAAGGCAGCAGTCATGTCCCATGTGACACCCTCATCCTGGCACCCTGCTGGCCTGCCTTTCCCGGCCCCTCCTGCAGTGAGAGATGACTGTGTGCCTGGGGCTGATGGAATGGGGGTGGAAGTGCTGTGTGTACCCCACTTCCAGGCCTGACCCAGAAAAACCTCCTGCGAGAGTCTCTGCTCTCTCTTCCCCTGGCTTTGGCTGGAAGGGAATGCCCAAGGTGACCTCGAAAGCCACCTGCTGAAGATGGCAGACTTGATGGCCTGGGTCCCGGGCACAGCCACTCATCCTCCCTTGCCCATCCACATTCCCAACTCTGCCTGGATGTGAGGTAAACAATGAATAAACCGTAAGTGGGTTAAACCACGGAGATTTCAGTGTTACCTGCTACCGTACAAGCTTCACCTTAACTCCTAAGCCGCTGCCCCTCGGAAACTCCTCCCTAGGCTCACCCACCCCAGATGTTTTTAAGGCATTTCTTAGATAATGAAGCTTCTGTACAATCTTGCCACTTTCCTCTGGCCCAGTGGATTCCAAACAGCTGCTCAGAGTCGCAGGGGTTCTGGAAGGGTTCTCGGGAGCATGTCTGGAGACTGAGAGGCAGGTGGGCAGGACACTGGGCCCCTCAACCCTACTTCATCCAGAGCCTGCCTTTCACCTGTGCCGCACCTGAGTTTTTGTCACCAGATTTATCACCTTTGGTCTATTTCTGTCCTGTAATAAATGGAGCGCAGAACTGAATGCCCCCAGTGTGGTCTTGAGGCCTGCCTCCCTTGTTCTGCACCTGTCACGAGATGGACATTTCGGTTGCTGAGGGATGCTGTCACCTAGACTGAGTCTCCTGAGCCTCTGAGAGCTAGAGCCAGCTAGAGCCTTTTGCCTCTTCCCAGGCCTGCTGGGCCTTGAATATACAGCAGAGGGAGTGAGCCTGAGGAGCGAAGGGCCTTGTCTGAGGCCACACAGCTCATCACTGGTGGAATGGGACCTGGGTCTTGCCCTCAGGCTGAGGAAGCACCTGTTCTTTGCACCACACCATGCCTTCCAGGACAAAAACATAAGGGAGGATGAAGGAAAGAGAGGGAGGAAGGCAAGCAAGGAAGACGAGAAGCAAAAGGAAGCAGAAACAAGGGTAGAACACTCATGACTACCCAATGGACTCCTGAGGCCCAGCATCCACAGCTTGGAAGTAGTTAGGGCAAAGGCCCACTGGCAGGGGAGCCTTGACTTTTATTTCCAAGGACCATGCTTTGCCCTTTTGGAAGGAGACCTGCCTGCCCCCTACCCCACAAGGTGGAGCCGAGCTCATCCTCCCGGGACACTTGTCCTGGTTGCCAGGCTCAGGTACCTTCGCTGTTCACTTCAGGGAGCAGTTTGCGCAGAGGCCTCTTCACCTCCCAGGTGCTGCTGACGAAGGAAGGCATCACCCTGAGCAGCTCGTCCTTGTCTTCCTCCCGGATTACAGGGATGGTCTCCAGGATGAGCTGCATCTGCTCCAGCTCATGGGCCCCTGGGGAGGGAATGCCAGATGGTTAAGTGTGCTGCCCAAGGGGCTGTGGTGTGCAGTAGCCCGAAAGCAGTGCCAAGTGTTCTGGGAGGAACAACACAGGGCAGTGGGGCAGCACTGGGTTGGGACCGGGGTTCTGGTCTTCATTTGCTGCACAACTGTGGGCAAGTGGCTGACATCTCTGGGGCTTGGCTTTGTTAAAAGTAGAAAGAAGGGGTTAAATCTGGTAGTCTGCAAGTCCCCATCTATGCCCCTAGCATTCTATTCTCATACAGACCAGCTGGATGTAAGTCAGCACTGAAGAATGTGAACAGCCTGGCTCAAGGCCTTCCAAGCAACTGCCCATAGGCCTCTCTGCACAATCTTTACTAGGATGGGGAAGGAAACAATTTTAAGGCTAGGAATGAGCCATAACTTTTGGTTTCCAATTAAGAGATTCCATCTAGGAAACTCTCAAGAGAAAAACAAATCAGGAATAACAAATCGGGTTTGGGATGTGTCTTGAGCACATGGCCTCTGTGCTCCTTGGGAGAAGGAAGACAGGCTATGCCAGGTTTTCAAGGGAACTTTGGTGGGACAGGATGGACTCAAGCATTCATTTATTCACTTATTCCATAAATAGTTATTTATTGAGCACCTTCTCCAGGCCAGGCATCATGCTGGATGCTGGGAATGGGTGAGGCATAGTTCTCATTCATGAGAAGCTTCAGTCTTTGTCTCAGAAACTCAACTCATCTCCCACACCCAGGCAACCACTGGCCACAGTATGGCATTTCTGGCATTGGACAGATGGGTCTCCTTGCTGTCCTCCTCTGACCTCCACACTGTTCTTCTGTTACTTCCATTTTCTCTTTTTTGATTGAGTTGCCTTTCCACTTAACTCTGCTAGGTTAAAACCTCAGCCATACCTCTCCTTCCTCAAGAAGTCGCCCCTGCCCATCCAGCTGCACAGAGGGCCCTCCCCTTGCCATGAATTCCCATGGGATTCCAGTCTTCCAGATGTTGGTGGCCCAGGATGAGGACTGTCCCAGGTTGCCCCACAGTTCCCTGTGTGGCGCTAAGCACATGTGAATACTGACTGAGGAAGTGCCTGCAGCCTCAAGCTCTCTCCTGAAGAGGTCCTTTTGGCCTCTCCCTGCAGTGGACTCATTGGGTCGGTTCAGGGCTCTGGAAGCCCCCTGTCGGGTCCTGTCTCCAAATGTGTACTCCACACCGCTCACCAGTGGACCATGAGGTCAGTGTGATCAAGCTGCAGACAGAGGTGGTGGGACCTTGCTCCCAAGCCCCTGACCCCTCTCCTGTGTGACACACAAACTAGTAATACACAACCTTCTGCTTGGAGTAGCTTCTTCAACCATGGGGGTGGGGGAGGGCAGAGAATGAGCCTCTTTCACTTATCTGCTCCTGCCTGAGATCAATGGTGTCATATGAGAGGCAGTCAGTGGGGCCTCCCTGGCAATCCATGGCCTGGGGCAGAAAGCAGGAGCTTTGGTGGCAGACAGCCCTGGAGGCAGACCTAGCTTCCCCACATTCTCCCTATCCACCCCTTGTGGAATGAGGATGATTATTTATACTTGGAATGAGTATTATAAGGAGTCGAGTGCGTTGGTAGATGAAGGCTCCTGGGGAAATACCTGGCTTGTAGCAGATGTTTAATAGCTCTTGACTTCCTTTGCTTCTAGGAGTGGGGAAAAGCAACTTTGAGAGAAGCTGATGAAATAATTCCACCTTGGAGATTTATGTCCTAGTCATCCCTGAGTGATTCTTTGTGACAGATGTCACTTGGGGGAGGCATCTTAACACTGAGTCTACTAAGCCACCACTGAAAATGGGAGAAGGTGTGAAGCATGGAGGAGGATACTATGGTTGATGTCCCTTTCCTACTGAAAGAAAGTCCTTTCCATGTCACACCAGCTATTGCCTTCCCTGCCTGTCTTGCAACAAGGGGAGGCCATGTGATTCAATCAAACAGGGACAGGAATCTCCTGGAAGGACTTCTGGGGAAGATGTTCCTCCCTGGTAAGAGAGAAATGTGAGGAGAGCTGTCTTGCTGCCCTGGCTGACCCCTCCCTACCTTTCTTCGTTGGACGGTTCTGCGTGAGAACCTGAAAGCGACTGCAACCATCTCATGACCACAGACAGTGAGCCTGAAGATGAGAAGCCAGTAGACTGTGGATCATACAGCCTCGTCTGGGCTCTCAGTGAGTCACCTGCCTGCTGTGGCACGGAGAAGCCCAGCTCTTCTCCGTCTGGCCTGAAGGTTGTCAGCCTGATGGAAGGGCAGCTGGAGCAGAGCCCTGGGAGCTGAGGGCTCAAGGCCAGGAGAACGGAGGCAGCCAGGCACCTGTGACCCAGATCGTGGTTATAGGGCCAGGATATTGAGCCATCCAGGGCTTAGGGGCTATGACTGGAGTGGGAAGAATCTTTGAGTCAGAGTCCAGGGCGAGACCTCCCTCCCACCTGTTCCCCCTTTCTCCCCTGCCTTGAATTGGCTGGAAAATATGGAACTGGGAGGTCTGTGCAATTTCAGTTGGAACAATAAGATAGCAGGATGGTTCACCCTGGGCACAGATGGGTTCACTGTGTATTGTTTTTTTCGTTTTTGCTCTTTTGTGTCCCCCACTGAACCATCAGACTTTTGAGGACAGAGACTATGTCTTACTTAGTCTGTATCTCCAGCACGTGGTCAAGGATCCACCCAAAGCACAAAATCCACCAGAGGGAAAACTGTAGGGGCTCCTGAGAGTCCAGGGGGCAAATGAAAACATCTGTACTCAGGGCCTAAATGCTTGGACATAAGCCCTAACTTCAGCTTCATCTGACTTTCCTGCCATTGTTTTTATTTTACTTTTTTCATTTTCTTTTTTTGTGTGTTTGTTTTGTTCTGAGACGGAATCTCGTTCTGCCGCCCAGGCTGGAGAGCAGTGGCATGATCTCGGCTGAATGGAACCTCCACCTTCCTGGTTCAAGCAGTTCCCCTGCCTCAGCCTCCCAAGTAGCTGGGATTACAGGTGCAAGATCATGCCTTTGCACTCCAGCCTGGGAGACAGCGCGAGACTCTGTCTCAAAACAAAAACAAAACAAAATAAAGACTTTCTTAGCTATTCAGACATGGCTTAGTCTTAAAGTCCTGCCAGTGTTCCCTTAGAAAGGCCACCGTTAGCCACTTCTTCTCTGAGCTCATTTTCCCATCCTGAAACGGGGGGTGGATGAAAATTCTTTGAGTAAGTGACAGCAGCATTTAGGGCTGAGGGTGGAAACTTGGGAAGGGTTGAGGGACACAGTGCAGAGGAAGTAGAGCTCATGGCAGGTGAGAAGCAACTGAGGGGGACTTGCCAGCAAGGGAGGAGGAGACCCAGGGAGCAGAGGGTTTCAAGAAGGAGGTGATGATCGTCACTGACTACTGCTACAGGATGAGGCTGAAATGCATTCCCTGGATTAAGAACAGGGCAGTTTGGGTGGGAACAGCTTCAGACAGATGGAGGGGGAGTAAGCCACACTGCAGTGAGGAGAGAATGGAAGAGAGAGAGTGAAGAGAGCAAGTGCTCCTCCAAGCAAAGAGGGAGAGAGTGAGAATGAGTATGAAGTGCAATGGGAGCACCAAGAAGGATGACTCATGCCCTGGGGAGTTAGGAGAGACATCATGGAGGACAAGACATAAGCTGGGTTTTGAAGGTTCAAGAGGAGTTTTCTAAGCAGAGAAGGGGGTCTTTGTGCCAAGGTGAACAAAAAAAAGATTAGGAAAACAGTGGGTCACTTGGTGTGGCCAAAGGACAGGAAACAGTGGCAGGGAGGGAGGAGGAAGGGGCTAAAAATGTAGGGTGGATGTGTTTGCAGCCATCAGTCTCAAGATGTTTGAATAGAAGTGTGTCTAAGTCCATTCAGGCTGCTATAACAAAGTACCATAGACTAGGTGGCATATAAACAACATTTATTTCTCACAGTTATAGAGGCTGGAAAATTCAAGATTAAGGAGCTGGCAGATTCGGTTTCTGGTGAGAGGCCCATTCCTCACAGATGATGCCATCTCAGTGTGTCCTTACACAGTGGAAGGGGCAAACAAGCTCCCTCGGGCCTCTTTTACAAGGGCACTAATCCCATTCATGAGGGCTCCATCCTCATGACCTAATCACCTTCCAAAGGCTCCACCTCCTAATAGTATCACCTTGGGGGTTAGGATTTCAACATGTGAATGTTAGGGGAACACAAGCATTTAGGTCATAGCAAAGTAGTTATTTGATTGCAAAAAGTTCTGTGCTCAAAATGCTATTATTAGCCTCTCCAGTATTTTTGCCCGACAATATAATAGGGTGCCTCCAAATAGTGTCATAAAAGCCACAGAAGTAATTTCAGCAAAAGATGAGCATGTTTTGTGATTGCAAGTGTTTAGCCCTCAGTTCCCCTTTCTATGGAACGACACCAGATGAGAAGGAAGGTGGCATAGTTAGCAACTCACCAGCAAAGAGCATTCTCCCTGTAAGCATCTCAGCCAGGATGCAGCCGGCGGCCCACATGTCGATGGCTTTGGTGTAGTTATTGGGGGAGAGGAGCAGTCGTGGGGAGCGGTACCATTTTGTTACCAACCCCTCTGACAGATAACCCTGAAAGACAAAATTTCTGGTCCCACTGATCAGTCATTTTTGGATACCCTTCCTCCCACGCCTCTTCCAGTTTCCCCTCCCATGAAACAGACCTCTTTCAGGGTCCCTTTCATTCTTGCTCCTTTCCCATTGATCTTGAAGGAGCATAAGTGAACAGAGGTCTGGTTAGAGGGACTGGGCCTGGTTTGTGGGGTTCAGATGCTTTGGTGAGAGAATCTTATGAGAGCTGAGGGTTCTCCTTTGTAGAAAGGAATTCAGGTTATCAATATTTTAGAAGAAATGATTTCCCACCCCAACTTGATGTAACTCTGCCCTCGTTTAGTAAGAAGATGGGTAAACAGGAGCCCTGCTCAAGTTTATTCCTGCCAGCAACAGAGTAACCATGAGACACTGGCATTTTCTTTATCCAGCAGATGAATCTCAGAAGTAGCCATATGCTTGAACTCAAGCTGGTTGCTTTGACACTGAAGATTAGAATTAATGCTGCCACAAAGCCAGGCATGAGGCTCCTGGCTGAGAACAGATAAGGCCACCTTCATAATGGATGCAGGAAAATGCTATGTGGAATCAGCCCTGAACAACAAAGTGGACACAGCTTTTATTGGTCCATGAGATTCTGGGAGTTCAACCTAGTGTCTTTTGCGGGGATAAATGTTCTAGCTGATTTTGCCCACGGCTCAGTGATTCGTAGTCTGAGATGGACTCCCTTCTTACGGTATATAGTGAGGACATATACCCATATATGATTTAGGAAAATATACCCAGGGAATTTAGAAATTGTTTTCTACATAATTCAGAAAACTGGGCCAAGAGTGACATCTGGGAAATGTCCATTTGAATTCCCTAGTACAGTCTTTCTAAAGTAAGAAAAAAAATGTATAGATCCATTGGGGGTTAAGGCATGACAGTTAGGACCAAGGAGATTCAATGGGAGATTCCAGGGATGGTCTTTTAGTTCACAGTTTAGCATCTGCACTTTCCTTTCTACTGATGCGGAAGCATCACATCACAGTCTCAGGTTAAAGAAGATGAAAAGTTAAGAAGCCTAGGACCCAGGAGTTTTTGACCCATTAATCTGAAATCCTTTCATTTGTTCAGCAAAGATTTATTAGATGTCTAAAACCTGTGGAAAGCCCTGAATGAGGACAGCAGTTTCCTCCCCTCTGTGGCACATATTTCCTCCGAGTAGAGCCTCAAACTGGTAGAAGGAAAGAGGAAAAGCAGAAGACACCCTTCAGCTGGAAATGACTAGAGCATCCCATGCCCTGGCCTCAATACTCTCACCAAAATAAACTCCTTAGAATTTGTAGGATGTGCCCTCTTCTTCTGTCCTTTGCGCATTTGCCTGTGTACCTTCCATGAGGGATATCCTCGTACTCATCGTGCTACCGGCTGACATGCTCAGGCCGGCTTCCTCTCAGAAGCTTCCTTGTTTTGTTGCTGTTTCTTTACTTCTCTGCATCCCCACCCCTCCAAGGACCACAGCTACTGTGCATTGCCCAGCCCCATGCTTCCTCAGAAGTGTTCAATAAACACTGCTGAACTGTTGAATGAATGAATGAAAAAGGAACATCTCATATGGTCTGAACCTCCTCCCAAATTTAGGCACCTTCTGCAGGGTCCACTGATCCTCTTCTTTTATACACTTGACTACAAGGTGGTCCAGGTTCCACTTTCCAAGGTGGGTATGGAGTTTACGTAAGTTGATAGTCACTTATGCCTTATCTTGTTCCAAAAAAGGATTGGCCCATGTAATTTTTATAAGAGTTTAATTGCTTTAAAAGGCAAGTTTATTGAGGTATAATTTACATAGGGTAAAATTCACAAGTTCTATTAGTTTTTTTTTTTTTTTTTTTTTTTGAGACAGAGTCTCGCTTTGTCACTCAGGCTGGAGTGCAGTGGCGCGATCTCGGCTCACTGCAAGCTCCACCTCCCGGGTTCCCACCATTCTCCTGCCTCAGCCTCCCGAGTAGCTGGGACTACAGGTGCCCGCCACCATGCCCGGCTAATTTTTTGTATTTTTAGTAGAGACGGGGTTTCACTGGGTTAGCCAGGATGGTCTCGATCTCCTGACCTCGTGATCCGCCGGTCTCGGCCTCCCAAAGTGCTGGGATTACAGGCTTGAGCCACCGCACCCGGCCAGTTCTATTAGTTTTGACAAAAGCATAGATCATGTCACCACCATCACAATCAAGATACGTAGTAACAATTCCGTCATCTCAAACAATTCCCTTATGCCCTTTTCTGGTCACCCCTAGTCCCAGCCCCTAGCAACTGCTCTTTTCTGTCTCTCTAGTTTTACCTTCTATATAAATGGAATGACAGTATGTAGCCTTTTGAGTCTGAATTCCTTCACTTAGCACAATGCATCTGAGACTCATCCATGGTGTGTGTACAGTAGACTGTTAGGAATTTAAGTTCAATTCTAAAAGTTACAGGAACAAGCCAAATACTATCGGTAGAAGTTCATTTCTGGGTGGGTGGGTTCTAAAAGAATAGTCTGGTTTTATTTTCATTCAGAGGGTGAGACTGTCAAGGAAAGACTAAAGCAAGAGTACCCAGTGGGGAGGTAGCTTCAGGGGAGTTTTCTCTGATATGTAAATGCACAGTCTTTTATGAGACAGAATGGTCTGGAATTGACATCTGCCTCTCCTCAGAGTCTAGGGCTAAAGAAAAATGGGGACAGGGAGCTTTCTTCTCAAACACTTGCCCTGAAAGTAAAAGAAAGATGTTGACATGAGTAAGGCTGCCCTTGGGCCAGATTCACGGGACAGGTCATGACAGAGCTTAAAACCCGGCCTCGCTCTCTCAGTCTTTTTTTTTTTCTTTTTTTAAATGACAGAACAACGAACCTGCGGCTTTCTATTCATTGATTATATGTACTTATTATTAATTCCACTACTTTACATCTACGGTCCCCCTGTGCACAACGTGCAGGTTTGTCGCATATGTCTGCTGGTCCACTGTTGGTGTGCTGCACCCTTTCCGGTTCATTTCCCACTCTTAGGTATCTCTATACACCATGTATCCTTCCCCCTCCCCCCACCCCACAACAGGCCACGGTGTGTGATGTTCCCTTTCTGGCATCCAGGTGTTCCTCATTTCAATTCCCACCTATGAGTGAGAACATGCAGTGTGGTTTTCTGTTTCTGTGATAGTTTTGCCTCAGAATGATGGTTTCCAGCTTCATCCACATCCCCTACAAAGGACACGAACTCATTCTTTTTATTGCGCTGCATACGTATGCCATGGTGTATACTGTCTGCCACATTTTCTTAAATCCAGTCTATGCATTCGATGGACATATGGTTGTTCCAAAGTCTTTCGTTGGCAATAAGCTGCCACACATAAATACACTGTGCCATGTGTCCTTTATAGCAGCATGATGTTATAATCCTTTGGTAAATATGCCCAGTCAAGGGGATGCGCTGGCTCAAATGGTATTTCTATTTCTAGATCTTGAGGAATTCGACACTGTCTTCCACAATGGTTGAACTAGTTTACAGTCCCACCAACGGTGTAAAAGTGTTCCTATTTCTCCACATCCTCTCCAGCACCCGTTGTTTCCTGACTTTTTAATGATCGCCATTCTAACTGGTGTGAGATGGTATCTCTTTGTGAGAACCTACTGAATTTTTAACTACTAGCTATCTTCCTGTGGTTACTTGTTCTTCACAGTCTTTAAAAAAAACATAAAAAGGATTTTTTGTTTGTTTTTGTTTTCTTTGAGACAGGTTCTCGTGTTGTCGCCCAGGCTGGCATGCAGTGGCACAACAGTGACTCACTACAACCTCTGCCTCCCAGGCTCAAGGGATCCTCCCATCTCAGCCTCCCAAGGAGCTGGGACCACAGGTGCACACCAACACACCCAGTTAATTTTTGTATGTTTTGTAGAGATGGGGTTTCGTCATGTTGCCCAAGCTAGTCTCAAACTCCTGAGCTCACACGGTCTGCCCGCCTCGGCCTTTCGAAGTGCTGGCATTACAGGCATGAGCCACTGCACCCGACCCTTAAAGGGGATTTGTTGATATGTTTCAGAAGCCACAGGGCTGAGAAGAATTCGGGAAGGCGCAGTGTCTTCTGCCAAGCTGGTGCAAGAAAAGTCCCAGGAAGGGGAGATTGGAATATATGGGAAGCTCCATTGTCGGGTCTGGGGGAAGAAATAGCGGACCAGGGTCCTGCTGTCAGCTGAACTGAGCCCTGGGTATCTGAATGGGAGAGGCTCTGGGGCCCACAACATGGTACTGGTGATCAGAATTCAAGAGAGGAGTTTCAGTCAAGTGGATGGGGTGAAATTAGGGATAATTTTCTAAAAAAAAAAAAAAATCTTTAAAGAGTACCCAGAAGTGGAGACCCAATTTTATTAAAAGAGCTCATAAATCAATAAGTATATTGGCTCAAAAAAAAAATCTTCAAATCGCCTTCTGCCCAAGCCTGCGGGGTGAGGATCATTTCGGCTCCATTTGGATGTGGAGAGGAACATGTCTCTGGGATCAGACCTGGTCTCCCCAGGCAGGGCATGCCCATGCACCGGGTGGCCAAGGAGGGAGTGGGCAGGGCAGCAGGCACACTCGGTGCGCAAGTGGGTGCGTCTGCATGTGGTTGTTGCAGGCCAGCTGGGGCCAGCCTCTGGTGTGAGGCTTTGCGACATCACTGCTCTGAGAAGACATGAAGCGCACACTCCCACAGTTCTCTGTGACCACCACTCAGAGCACAAGAACAAGACAGGAGTGGCCCCTTCCTAGTCATCGCTTTCCTCCTACCACCTTGTTCCCACTGGGAGGCAGATGAACATGGTTTCCTTTCTAGGCCCTTTTAAGGGGCCTTGGGGCCTTCATCAGCTATTGCTCCCATCTACCCATTTTGCTGTCCCTTTAGAGTCACGTACAGCCCATGGGAGGCTTTGACTTTGAAAGCTTCAAAGGTGTTTGGGAAATAATCTAGCAGCAGCTGCCCTGGGAAGAGCATAATTAGGGGCCCCCGAAGGATCTAGAGAGAAG